TGAAATTTTACCTATTTCTGAATGAATCTTCTTTGTTCGGACCCTTCACCTTTACTATCCTTGCACAGCTCCATCCTTGGCACATAAGTGATGTGTGAGACAGGGCTAGACCAAAAAGAAGTGTGCGTGTGTGTACAGATATGTTAGACAAGACACCTTTAGCTGGTTTTTCCTCAACCATGAGCTCACCCAGTCTGCCTGTATGATAAATCTGACCTTCAGGTTCGTCTTGAAATGCTGCACACGCATCTACGGAGAGCTGTCACTTACAGTGGAAATGGAACAGATAAGATTTTTGTTCACTTAGAGATGAGGTGATCAGCATGAAACATTCAAATTCCCTTAACCTTCAAGAGAAGTTGGCAGATTTTTGACTGGCTCAAGTAAAGAGAACCAGAGGTTGCCAACTTTATTTAAGGGTTTACGGACCAGGGTCACAAATGCCAGCACTGCCAGAGGGCCGGCGGCATGGCGTTACTTTGGGCTGCATCTAGGCTGCACAAAGGTACCTTACAACACCCATTTCTCACAGAAAGGTCCAGCAGAGCATGAACAAAGAGAGACACTTTTAAAAAAAGGCGAGAGGCATTAATTTTTCCCATTCCTTTGGCTGTAGAGGCTTGCTCTGAAGTAGTGTGCTCTTGTCGGTTTGAGCAGCCGTACCTGGTAAGAGGGCCACAAACCATTTTCACTCACACTCAGCTCCACATCTCCTGACCTTAGCAGAACTTTGAATGCAGCCAACAGTTTATACTGTCTGCAGACTTGCCATTCTGTGCAAAATAACATTTACACTTTAGCATATATTTAAAAAAGGTGGCTGGTGTAGCTGGGCCAGCAAACTCGGTCTTCAGACTCAGACATAGTTTGTAGCAGCAAAAAAAAAGACAGCTTCTTGCCAGCATAGCTGGAATGAAGTGAGTTGTACTGGCAAACAGCTCCTGCCAGCCAACTGTGTCTACGCTGGGATTCTTGCTTGTATAAAAACATCATTAAAAATAATCATACCCATAACCGACATTACTGTGCCCACAAACATTTTAATATCTGGCCTTAGAAAACCAGAGAATGTAAAAAAAAGTCAGAGGGAAAAAAAAAATCAATTCAAAGAAAGACTTCTGAAGATCAGAGGTTAGGAAGACCATTTCTGACAGCAGTGGGAAACATGGGTGGCTTCAGATGTGGATCGAAGAATGCTTGAAGGGCACGAAAGAGTGTTTCAGGTGCCCCCACAGCAACATATGACTTAAAGGACTGCATTTTATTGGGCCTTTTCCATGCATTGCTTTACTTGAGATTCCTGTCTTCCTCACATCTCGCAATTTTCTCTGCTTGTACAAAAAAAGTCCACTCTAAAGCATATGCCATGATGCAGGCCAGGTGGGAGCAGATCAACCCATGCATTTGTGAGGGAGAACCAAACCGTGAGAGACTCCTGCTAACAGCAACATCGTGTCATCTCCCCTAAGGCCCTTCCTCAGAAAGGGAACAAAGCTTTAGCAAGGTAAGGTGAAGAAACTTCAGAAAAGCAAAGATATTCAGGCAGGAGCTTTCAGAGTTTGGAAACGCAGCAGCAGAATCTCAGCCAGGTCCCCCAGGGCCCAGCAATTCAGGGCACTTTCTGCAGATTAATTATCACCTTTGTGTCCTCTAATGAAAAACCGAGAGAAAGGAAACAGGGCGAAATTACCTTAAAATGCTAGCTGCAGATGAGCTGGAGAAAAGGGAGGGAGGCTTTGTGTCTACATGTATGAGCTGCTCGGGGGCGATTTCCCCAAAAGTGCTGCAGTAAGCCAGTTTGCACTGACCCCTTGGTGAAGACAAGTCCTGCCTTACTCCGACTGCAGAGCAACCACAACTCAGTTACAAAGTGAAGGCACTCGTACATCCACACCTGACCTTCCCCCATCCTACCTGGTTCTAGCTAGAGTCCCAAATGCAGAGGCTTGAGAGCAGACACCCAAAGGTAGCTGCCTTCCTCAGGGGGAGACCGGGATACCTCCTAGCTCTGAAGGATGCTGTAATTTTAAAACCACTCAGGCACAGTGGAGTTTTGACTTAAATTGCGGCTTTTCCATAGGAGTCTACCAGGCTGAGTGACAGTGCATAGCAGAAACTTCTGTAGAAATGAGACAGCATTGCTATAAATTTTTCTTAATGGATGCACACTGAGGCTGATAACCCAGTTTGATATTGCAAGTATGACTCTCAAGAGTAGTGCAAATGACAATGGATTTCATTTAATGAATAAAAGGATTACTTTTTTTTTTTTTTTTTAAAAAATAGCATTTCATGTCTTACAAATTGCTTCTAAGTACTGACTTTTCTCCAGGACATTCATCCATAAACTAGTTATGGTATACAAGCCTGGATAGCCTTAAAATAGAGGAGCCTATAGGGATTTGAAATAAAGTGCTGGTAAAATATGCTCTTTTTTTTTTGACTGAAAAAATAAATGCAACATGAGAGGCTGCATAGATATAATACCCCTTGTTCATGGTGGAGGCTTGGAAAGGCTGGACCTTGGTATCCTGGATAGGAGGGTGCCAAGAGTCTGGGGGCTCTGCTCCTCCTGTGCAGGTCCAAGTCTGACCTACACACCAAGGGAGGCCAAGTCCTCCAAGGAGCTTGTCCTGAAGCCGTGGGCTCCCCGTGTCCCCATCCTGCTGAGTGAAGGGATGTTTGTTTGAGAGCTCCCATCCCTCACCTGCATGCTCAGCCCTCCATGGGAAAGGCAGCACTTGGCAATTTCGCTGCGCTTCGAGCACAAAATTTTAAGGTGTCCCCTAGAAAAGAAGGAGAGTTCAAGGGGGAAGCACCTGATCTGGCTCATTTTCCTTTTGGAAACTGGAAAGACTTTTATGAGATGACATTTTTATTATTTTTCTCCCGTTTCATTAGGTGTCATTCACAGGATATAGATATCGTTAAACCTGCACATCATTTAGGCCAATCGCTACTTCTGAATCGAGACATTTTATCTTGTTTTCCAGATAAAATCTTCTCCTTGGTATGTCATCAAAGCATCAAATAATACAAACAGGAGACGCTTTGTTCTATCAAGTAAATGTTGTGGCACATGCAAAACTACGGGTGTCATTAGTATGAAAAGAAAATCCGAGTGCAAAAAGAAAAAAAAAAAATCCAGAACGAAGTTTCAGAATTTTACCAGACAATTGCGAAGTTTTCTAAAGATTTAAATAACAGTAAAAGAAATACACTTAACTCTTTTTTTTTTGTTCCTTCTAATGGAATTTTCTGTTTCATTTTTGCATGATAATAGCATTTAAAAAAAAAAAAAAGGAAAAAAAAAAGAAGAAGAAAAAGGAAAAAAAAATGGCACAGGCAGAGGGAGTGGGAAAAAAAGCTATGTGGGCTGGGTAGGGCAAAGAGGGAAGCGATGAGGCACCGCAGAAGTCGCCAGTGGTGGGATGACTCCGTGTGCCAGGCGGAGATATCTGCATATCTGCTTCATCTGGCTTGGGCTCCACTTGGCCCGAGAAGTCCTCCTTTTGAAAAGCGAGATATCAGTCACCATGACTGCATCACAAAAAAAAAAAAAAAAGAGGCAGACTCCCAGATTTGCTTATCTCGAGCTTCTTGAAAGCACCCCTAACTTCCTTGGCAGCAGTAGCCAAGCAATAGCTGTAAAAAGTTGTTTTCCCTGGGCTGGCCTAACCAGCGACTCAGCACATGCGGTGGGGAGCTCCCGAAATAGCTCAGGGTTGCCTCACCAGTCTCGGCAGCAGCTCGAAAGGCCTTTTTGTCTCCTGGGACTTGGAGAACTCCAAGATGTTTGGGCTTTATTTTGAAAGTATTCGGCAAGATAAAGATGATCTATTTATTTCAAGGCCGGGTGAACCGCAGGTCGCCGTGAAGACATTGCACAACACAACCAAGTCGGCTTAGCGCAGAGCTTTTATGGGATTCGATCGGCTCGAAGTTGCTGCTGCCCCCACCTAAATTCGGGTCGAGGCTGAGGCCCCTCCACGTTGGCACCTCACGGGGCTGAGGGCTCTCACTGATCGTCCCAAATGCCTGGGGAGCAATGACAAGGAGGAGGAGGGCCAGAGCTGGAGGAGCCCCTGGAAAACTCAGCAAATAGATCAATTTTCTGGGAGATAATGCACAATTCTTAATAAAAAGCTATTTTCTGACTGTATCCTGTAATACTTCAAGCCAGCCTTATCCAGGCTGCGTTTGTGCTGCAGCACTTCGCAGCAAGCCTTGCACGGACAAGGCACCCCCAGCACCACCATAACCTCTCCCTGCTGCACGAAAAGGCTCCTCTTTTTTGGAACTATCATTTGCTTTTGAAAAGCGACTCCAGAAAACATACACATCTGTGGCTTCCCGTCAGGGCGGGAGGGCAACTTCTGCCGACGCGTCTCATGTTTCTCAGCACGCTCTCCTGTGCCTCGGCCAGAGCCGCCGATACAACTTTCTGCTGAGTCAGGCTGCTGGGTTTCTTATCCCAAATCCCAAATGGGTGGTTTCAAGTGCTCCAGACATTTTTCGAGCATGGTTTGAAAGCCAGCCAAGCCCAGGGGGATGCAGCTCTTCTGGCTGGGTTACAGTCGGGCTGGTTTTCTCCCGGGAAGCTCAAGCTGGGCTGCAGCAGCGGGGTGCAACGTTGGAAGGATTTTTCTCCATCTGGTGAGCGAGCAGGGTTTGGTGTCACCACCCTCACCTGGCATCCTCGCTGCTCTGCTGCCCTTCAGATATTTGCAGAGGGGCACCGAGCCTGCTTGCCCACCCAACACCCTGGGGACAGTCCCCTTGTGCAGCACCTGGGACGGGTGGTTTTAACTCTGCCTTGCATGTTTCCTACAGCCAAAGGGACATGAATTCATGGGCAACCCTCCTGGAGATGCCTCTGCAGAGCCACAGGACCTCGTGCAGCCCGCTGCCTGGTGTCCCCTGCCACCGCTGGTGTCCCCTCCCCACCCCTCTTCCATGCTCTAGACGCCCAGGACAACAAAGCAGAGCGAAGGCGATTGTGCAATGTAGAGATCCATTATGCTTTATTTACATGCGTCACCATCTCTTTTACAAACTAGATTACAATTTAAAATGGAATACACAAGGCAATATCTACTAACACCAAGTGGAGTAAGCACTGCGTCGCTACTTCGTCTGGAACGGGGCAGGATTTGCTCCAAAACAAACTTCCTTCCGATCTCTGTGTAGTAAGGTAGTATATTCATCCAGGGCAGCATCTTTTTTTTTTTTTTTTTTATCTTTTAATTATTCTTATTTTATAAAATCCTCAGTAAGACTGCAACATGAGAGTGTCTGCTTTCAAATGAAAGTACAAGATAGCCCAAATGAAAAGTATAAACTGTTCAGCTCTTCGGTATGTCAAGACGGCCATGCGCGCTAAGGCTGTGGATTTCATATTCTTCCAATTTACATGGCTTGAAACAAAAACAGATAAAACAGTTTTACAGATACTGTATACATATTTTTTCCAATCATGCAACTTTTTTTAAAAAAAGTTAAACATGTGAAGCCAAATGTACAATCCATTTTTCCAACCCATAGTAACGAAATGTGTCTGGTCCCCCTTCGCATCTGTTGGCAATTCCTAATGCGTATCGTGTACTAAAAACAATTACAGGACACTGATTGCCAAGCAATGACATCATTCGAGAGAAATACATGACCTAAAAGGTTAACTTTTTGAAGCAGTGGCACAAAGATTTCCGGAGTTAAGCAGTGGCCAACTATCCAATTGTTCTCATGAGGAAGAAAAAAAGAAATGACAAAATTATGAAATAAACCCCCAAAACTGTGAGTAGGAAACTGCGTAAATGCCACCTTAGACCTTCTGTTTAGACAGAGTGTTTAAGTGACTCCTGTGTAATTTTCTGGGCCGTTATCTGTTTTATGTGGTTTCAGAGGGAAAACTATGCGGGAGAATATTCAAAAACTCAAAAGGCCAAAGTTTTCAAAAGGTATTTTCCCCAAATTAGCAATTTTTATCTGTATTTTGACACCTAAACAAGTGACCTTTTCAATTCATTAGGATGCATTTATTTGCTCGGCACCTCTGGAGACGAGGGCAATTTTTAGGCACCTCAGCATGCGGACGGGGTGGCCCTTGAGGCACCACAGTTTGAGGAGCGACAGCCCCGTGACACCACATCCAAGCCCCAGACTTGTGATGCCCGTCGTGAGGCACTTCAGTTTGAAAGTTTTGGCCACAAAAATGAGCAGCAGAAACCAAACCAAACTGAAGAGGTTGTCCAAGACCATCCCTCTTCAGTGGGTGCTGGGATAGTCTCCAAGGTAGGGGCGCGGTGTGTCCTGTGTCCGAATCCACGGGGCATGGGGAGAAGTTTCCTTTTTTTAAAAATAAAAAAATGAGGATGGTAAACCCTCGGCTGCTTGGAAGAGTCGATATGCTACGGGGCGACGATAACCACAACTGCACAGAGTTTTACACAGTCATAACCACGGGGCGAAACCAAGAGGAGCGCCTGTAGGGGAAGAGCGTGAGCGCGAGGGGGGCTACGATACGGAACAAAACTTCCATCACACGGGGTTAGGGGGGGAGCTGTTATTTCACCAACGTCACCTCGGGGACCTGGGACGTGAGGAGCGAGGGAGGGCCCACGAGCGCTGGCGTGGGCGTGCATGACTGTGCGTGTGCGTGTGCGGTGGCAGTGGCGCGAGGGAGTCACTCCACGTTGCATGGTACACGGACCGGTGGCAGCTCATGCACGGAAACTTTGGGTTAAAATGCTAGTCGGTTTTCCTAACATCCATGCATAATGATCCATTTCTGTACATAATAAAATATATTTATATATTTATATGCATAATGCCTTTATGCAAAGAAAAAAACAAAACAAAACAAAAACAAAACGTCATATATCGCTTTGGAGAATTATGTATACACTGTCCTATTCAGAACGTCTTCATACCAAGTTCTTATGTACCATTGGTGTTTTCCCCTCTTTTTTTTTGTATCCCTCCCCCCCAAGATACTAATAAAAAGTAATCAAACTTTCCAGATTATAGAGAGGATCTATACAGCACCATACCTTTTATTCATTATTATTAATTATTATTCATTTTACAAAAGAAAAATCTCAAGAAGCAAAATATATAAAACTGCCTTGTCTTTCAGTGTCATTTATCCTGTTATAATCTATGCTCGGATGAAAAGCCATTTGTGTATTGTCACCTTGCCATTCCCTCTCCTGCTTCTTCTTCCACAGTGGGTTAGACAACGACGAGAAGGAAAAAAATCATCAAGGATATGTCAAAAAAAAAAAGGAAAAAAAAAAAGGATCACTGATGCAATAACACACTGCAATGACCTGTGCGAGTGACTTGCTGATGCACTGCCCGTTGGCTCCCCTCTCCTGCGAAGCGGCGTTTCCCTTCATTTTCTCTTCTCCAGACTGATCCCTCCGGGTGGTGACTCTCACCGCGTCCAGCAGCAAAGGGCAGCTCAGCCTAAAACTTCTAACTAACGTACAGCAGGTGGGGAGCCTGCTCTGGTGGGCAGCGAGCGGGGTCCTGCGGCCCAGGAGGCGAGGAGGGCAGCGGCACCCATGGTCAGTCCGTCCTGTCCTCGCCAGCACCAGCCGGGAGGTTTCCCTCGCCGGTTCTCCCTCGCTTTGCCATCAGCCCTGGCTCGATGCTTGAACATGGGGGCGTACCATGAAGTTGAAGGAAAAGAATTAAGAAAGGAAAAGAAACAAAGCAACCCAACGGGCAAACAGACCACACGAGATCGCCTCCCTCTGGAATTCGGCCGGTCGCTTGGCGTAATGGATGCTGTATATTTGGAAAGCCCTGGCGGTGGGTTGTGATCGCTTCCTCGAGCGTAAGCAGTGTTTCAGATTCCCCAGGGAGAGAAAGCAAAAATGGTCAAAAAAAATCTAAGGAAATCAAACTGGAGGCTGGGGGGGGAGGAGGGCGGGCAGACAGGAAAAACCTCCAAAAAGAAAAGCCAACTTAAAACATCCCATAAACCATTAATATATTGAAACACCACATACTCATTGACAAGTAACTACTGTAAAGGCTACACAGTGTGTTCTTAACAGGATGGTGCTGAACATTGTCTCCACAGCAGGTGCTTGGCCATCCCAGAAAAGGAAGATTTTGCATACTTCAGAATGAGTTCAATTCCAAAAAAAAAAAAGTAAGAGAAAAAAAAAAAAAGAAGAGGATCTTCACTCAGGTGTGGGGCCTATTAACAGTCTGCTTCATTAGGAAAATAATGCAGGGTTCACAAAGGTCGTAAGCTGTAAACAGTATCACTGTCCACTTGCTGACAGCAGATTTGGCAAAGGGTTCTCTCTCTACATCTCGTGTCAGTTTGAGGGCCTGGAGAGGAAGAAAAAGAGAAGAGTGAGATTGTGAGAAAGTGTAGGAAAAAAAACAACCCACAAAGCTACAACAAAAAGCCACCTGAGTAAACCTCCAAACCCATTGAGTTTGCACTGATAAGCAATTTTGATTTGTTGGCACCCAGAAGGTTCGACATACAGCCAAGTGCTGTCACGTAACTCCTCCTAAGTATCTGCCTCAGGTGGCTTCTCAAACTGGGGCCTAGTCCCCACCACCACCCAAAGCCTCATGAGGGCCTTCTGTGATGAACGACTGGTGATTTTTTATACAATGTAAGAACACGGGGACACTTGCTGAAGCAACCCAAGTCGATTACAGGAATGTTTTTACTCTCTAAAATGCCCGGGAACGTGTAGGGGCACTGCTGGCCTGATCTCGCAGCGCGGCTCCTGTGAGGGAAACCACCCGACGGGGTATGGTTCCTGCTCAGACTGTCCCCAGGATCCTCCTTTCTAAGGTGCCAGGCACTGATCCTACAATAGAGTTTTATTAAAATGACCTATCCCGATAATGCTGAATGATGGATGGGACTTTAATCATTTTGTCTGACGGTTATTAGAGCACCAGGGCGACAGCTGCTCCCCGCGCCATTAGGGGAGAGCTGCATTCAGGGTGGCTTAGGGAGCAGACAGATTGTGCCTTTCGCCCAAACAAAATTTGGCTTTAGCCTTAATTACGGGCAGGGTTTTGGGGGAGACTGTTCGACGAATAAAGGGATTTCCGACTGGATCAACATATTGATTTCTTCATTTCCAAAGAGCAAATTAATGCTAGCCCTCTGCTAATGTGACTGTCTGGCAACGGCTCCGCTGGGTAAGCGTGTCCCCGCGGCCACAACAAGGTCACCACGAGTTCCCCAGACGGGCCCAGTAAGTCCCAGTATAACCAGTGGCCTGTCTGCAGACCAAACGAGTGCATCCCTTTGCAGGGAGGCTGGAGGCTGGTGGCTTCCCAAGGCCCAGGCTCCTCAGGAGGGCACGGCTCAGTCAGCACCCACGGGCTTAACCCGAGTGAGTCCTGCTGGTTCCAAATGGGGCATTAATTAAAAGGAAATAAGGAGAGAAACTCCTGAGTAAGTACCAGCGCGGTGTTTAACATTTAAATTAAAAACGTATGTAAAGCACAATGCTACCGAACGAGGAGACAAAGGAAAAAAGAGGGGGACAGGCGATCACAGGCAGGATTTGTGTCAGTGGCTCTGCCCGGTGCTTCTCCTCCAAACCTTCGTGGGACTGGGGCTTACCCAAGACAAACGCACGGAGGAGGTGGAAGCTGCTCATAGCAGAACCGAAACACGCTCGATTTTCACGGTTCTGTTTACGCAGACTTTGCAGATGGATTAAAAAATGGCAAGGAGTAGATCAAAGCCTTAACCCACACGCCTTTGAATTACCCCGCTGCAGTCCGTAGCAGACCCATGCGCTCTCACTTTCTGTCTGACCACAAAAAGCCTCCGTCAACCCTGAGTTAGGTTCACGGCACTGAACACCATGCCAAGCAGGGAAGCAAACGCTCTGCCTACATCTTCATGTAGCAGTGGTTCTCCACCACGTTTTCTCCCGTTCCCCGTGGCATTAGGGAAAGCTGCGTGTCTGCAGGGGAATCTCCTCCGGTGAGGCAGGACAATGCTGACCCTTATGGGCAACAAGCAGCTCTCCAGGTAAGGTGCTGCAGTCCCCCTTTGTTCTGTTTTCTGGCCTTTACTTACTCCTAGGGCCCCTTTTTTGGGGAAAAAGCAACAGAGGCACGTGCATGGGAGTGACTGCAAAAATATATGGAATAGAGGCAACGGATAGATAGAAGAAAAAGGAAATCTAGCAGGGCTGGTGGGTTAGAGATCAGTGCTCGAAAGCAGTGCTTTGGCAGCAGCTGGGAGGTTGCCATGGCTCACTCACTGCAGCAAACCCATTCCCCTGGCTCTTATCTGCAGCACGGTCTCATTCCCCAAAGCTAGGGGGGACTCCCAGACAGAGGAAGGGCATCCTTTGCCTACACTCCCTAAGCCACCCTCTGGAAAATTCACTTCTCCCTTAAAAAGCTCCTCAGCTCCTCTGCCAAACCTGAAGCCCATTTCCAATCATCAGAGAATGGAAAGGCATTTTAGACTTTCTCCTGAAGTGTTGTAGACTTTCTTTGCTCAGTCTTTTCTTAGACTTTCTAAGAAAATCAGGATTTTCTTCTGAAGTGCAGTCACCACAACTGAGCTGACACCTGGGCTCGCACTGGAAGCAGCGCAATCCCACTCTGGTGTTTTGACCCCTTGGGCACAGAAGGCTTGGACAAGACCCATCTGCCGGACATCAGGAGAAGCCCAAGTACTGTATCAAACTACAGCTTGTGCAACCACGCATGCATGTGGTTGGTGAAAATGACAACTTTAAAAGAGAAACAGAAAAAGCATTAAATTAGGGGTAGTTTGGGATGAAGTCTTGCTTCATCACTTCCCACAGACATCTGAGCCCTAGATGCTAAATCTGTTTATCCTATTTGGTGGAAGAGAAAAGCAAAGATTTCTGTATTCCTTCTGTCCTTTCCTATGCCCTCCCATCCTCTACCTTGCTACTGACCTCCTATAAATGCTGCTTTTGCCTTAATGTGTGGCTTAATGCTGTGACGTCCCTCCCAGCAATAACATTTTCCTCACCTCTGTCTCACATCACGTCTCCACCACCTAAGGGGAAGGTTCCCAAGCCCCTTGCCAGTTTATGCTCCATCAGACAAGCTCTGAAGCCTCATCTGCTCCGTGCTGCTTTCTCCCTTTGGTTCCTACTGCAGCACTGGAAATTCCTGCAGTGGTTTGCAAAAAGAAAACGGATGTGATCCTTTCCTTGATCGTAGTACTTGACACTGCACCCTCAACACACAGCTCCTCTGCAAAGTAGCCCACTGAGGACCCGCTGATTTGGCTGGAAACCTTGCTGAGTGGATATTGCATCTTGAAAAATATCACCACCCAAAGGTCTGTAAGGCAAGAATTTTCCCTGGGTGCTGCTCAGTATGACTCCCCAGAGACAAGAAATCCCAATAATGCCTTTTACAAGTCCACAGACTGTAAAAATGTAAACATTTTGAAGGAAACTCGTGTCCTTTAGTGACAGATGTGCATTTGTTCCAGTGCCTCTGTCCCTTGCTTCTGTCATGTCATTTCTTCTCTAAAATGGGGTTAGGCTCAAAAGCAGGGCATGATTAGGCATGCTTACCGCCTTTTTCTTAAGTTAGTATTCTGCTATAGGTTTTCATAGTTCAACACCAAAAAGTACAAAGTACTTGCTAGAACTGAACAAGGAAAGTAACTGTTGTGGCCTTCTGCAATGACAAAGTTGCAGCGTGAGGTTTTTCATAGAACCACAGAATGGTTTGGGTTGCAAGGGGTCTTCAGCACCATCCAGTCCCATCCTCCCTGCCATGGGCAGGGACACCTCCCACCAGCCCAGGCTGCCCAAAGCCCCATCCAGCCTGGCCTTGACCACCTCCAGGGATGGGGCATCCACAGCTTCCCTGGGCAAGAGCAGAATAAAAATGCTGGTGCCATGGCAGGTATGTCACTGTGCTCCCATACAGGCCAAGCATATGCTGCACCGGAGTGGCACCGTGCCAAAATGCAACGCTGAGGTCAGGATGCAAAGTCCAAGGGAAAGCAGAGAGCTGGCAGCTTCATGCACTGTCTCACATGGGCCTGAACTTTCAGGCATGTTGCAACTTCACTTTTCCTCTTTGAACTGTACTCAGAAAAATAGATTATTTTTTTTCTGGTTCAGACTCAGAGAACAAGGGGAAAAGAATGGAAAGAGGAAGAGAGCAGCAGAGAACTGGGACATATGGGAGCTAAAAATTTGCTGTGCTGGTACTTGCACAGGCACGTAGAGCACGAAAGTGTATCCTTTCCTTCTGTGGCTGCTGCTTCTCTCCAAAACACACTGCAAACCATAGCAGACAACCAAATGCTTTGGAAGTAAATGCACCTGCAGATGTCAAATCGTTCTCCCTGTATTAGCTCTGCAACAAAAGGCTTGCCCGGGACCTCAGCGAGGTGCCACAGCTACTGGCATGAATGCTGTTCTGATAGACCTTCCTCTGCCTCCTTTCTCCTTGCAGAGGCCCGTGCTGTTTGTTGTATCTGTAACACCACTGCTGCTTGCTCCTGCACAACCAACCTGCAGCATCACAGAAGTTCACAACTTGATCAAAAGCTGGGCCTTTCTTTTCACACCCCTGTACAGAATAAGCCTCTGTGAAGATTTAAACCAGACTGCATGGCGAGGAGATGAGCACAAAATGACGTTAGCCCTCCTGATCTCAGCACTTACTCATCTAAAATCTACATTTACCTTGCCATACACTTTATAGTTTGTCAGGACAACAGGGGAAAAACAAAAGAAAGAGAAGATTTTTTCTCTTCTACTTTTCTAATAAACATGTATTGAATGCAATCTAATTATTAATACATTGCCATCTCTTTTATGCATATGAACAGGTTAAAAAAAAATGTTGAATTTTCACAACTGTTTATGAAGCTGTTGAAGAACTACTCTTCATGGAATCATAGAGAAGTCTAGGCTGGAGGGGACTTCTGAACATCATCTGGACCAATCTTCTTCTGAAGCTTAGGTTAGATTACTCAAAGCCTTGTCAAGGAAAGCCTGGCAAATTTCCAGCAAGGCAGGGTCCTCTGGACAGTTCACTTCCCACTCAAAGGTGGCTGAGGTCCCTTCTACCCATTTTACAGAGGAAAAGAAGACACCTACAGAGAAATTGGCCCAACCATGCTCACACACTTCAAGGAAAAACAGATTGGGGTTTTCCTTATGTCTTGGGACCTGGTACTAAAGCACCCAATCCACAGGAAATTCTGCACTTGTTTGCAAGAGGAGCAGGCTCGTACAGACGACACTGCATATGTCACTGTGTTGTTGCCCATACAAAAAGACCATATGTTGTGCCACTTGTTTTTACACCTACAGAGATGCCAACGTGCA